CGTTGGTGCGTGCTGTTTGCGGCGATGAGAGTAATAAATGGCTTGTTGCTTTCATAAGCTGTTTAAAATTGTATTTCTTGCATGTAATCTGGGAAAAAAAGGTGATTTGTAATGTTACAGTGTATGTTCGTTGCATTTATATGACGGAAGATTAACTCTACAACAGATTTCAATAATAAAACCAAGTTCTTTAAATACATTGGCAGCGCAGCTATTTGGATCAGTATGAATTGAGAACAATTGGATAGTGCTGGCGGCTTTCATTTAAAATGCTCATTATTCTTTGTTATTAAAAGCTTTGTTTCCTTCTGGCAGACCATACTTTTTATGTGATAGGGCTTTTTGTCGACGAAACAATGTGAATCTTTAGCTTAATAATTCTCCAACGTCTCTTGACAGTCCGTGGTATTCAGAAACGAATATCCTTAAATGTGAACCGTAGCTGTGTGGCTGCATGATGAGTTGAGTTAAAATGCATCCGTAAGGAATCTGAAGATAATTATTGGGGTAAAAAATAAGGAAAATTAAACGAAGGCTTAATTCGAACGTTTTTTGGGAACGGTGCTCCCAGGGAAACATCATTGTGGATGAAGCTGTGTAATGAAATTAAGGAGAGGTCTGTGAAATATGAGGTATTATGGGGCGTAAAAGGGACAAGATTTAAATATAATCCCATGAGCCAATGCTGGAGATAGTTTTAAATAGTAACAATCTCCACGTTCGTTGTACATTTTCTCTCTGAGCCCTCGGGGCGAGTGGCGCGTGCCCACCGGGCTCGAAAACGCGCTGTGTTGTACCCTTGCCCTTGTACCGTGCTCTTCAGCTTTGTGTAGGTGGGTGGACGGGTGAGTGAGTGGGTAGCCGAGCGCCTTGAGGGAACGGTTACGTAACCGGGCTGCTTGGCGGTGGAGGAGGAGGGGGTGGGGCGCCAGGCGACGGTCGCGTCGCGTGACTCCAGCGGCGAAACGTCTTTCTGTTGTGTTGTGGTTGGGAGGGAGGGGGAGGGGCAGTCGGTCTCGCAGCCATGGGCCTCGAACGTGAGCGTGTCGCGTGCCCCGAGGCGGCGATTAAGGGGCCCCCCGCGGACGGCCCGGCGACGGCGCAGCCCGCGTGATAGGCGCCTGTGCTTTCCTCCGAGGACAATCTTCGATCGGAGAGGCGACTTTATTGAAAACTTCGTCGTGTTTTTATTGTATGCATTTAAATTGGTGGCTTTTATAAATTTAGAGGAGTTACTCTAAGAAGGGAGCACTTTGACAGGTCAAATTAACGCCCTGTAGGGCGATGGCATTGCAAGAGACAGTGGTGAATCCATTTACAAAAGTAGTTAACTGTCAACAAAGGGATAGATGAATTGAATGTAAGGACATAACCTGCAGTTATGTTGCCAGCAGTAGCCAAAGAGAAGCTGTCAAAGAGGCCTCTTCTTATAGTAATCTCTGTATAACTTTATTCTTGTCAGAATGAGCTATATTTTCCTTCAAATTGGTTGCTTTGGTTGTCTTATATACAAGCACGGTGTTGCTTTTCCTTTGTTACGTAAACTATTCGACGAAATCCTCCCTTTGGGCTGCATTTAGAGGAAACCTATTTCTGGAGGGTTTAGGCTTTGGACGTGCAAGTTGTTGGACACCTGCTACGCTATTTTCTATGCTTTGATCCCTCCGCATCAAAGGGTCCTCAGACAATCCTTGCGGAACGGTCTGCAAATTCCGAAATAGAACATAGGATCGTAAAGCGACTCCAGCAGACAACTTGTGTCTCCTTTGCTGGAAGAAGTTTCGCCTTCTCGGAATGGTATTTAGAATTAGCGAAGTACAACGGCTGCACAGAATTAGATGTTTGGGCCCCTGGTGCCGTCTGGCTGGCATCGGTTCGTGCTGCGGCCACCTGCATTTGAATGAGTGCTATTTTTTTATTGTTTTTTATGTAATGTACATTATTAATGTTATGTTATTTACTACTCTGTTTTAACGTATTTTTTATTACCAACAAGATTCAGCAGAAGAACTGCGTTTTATGATATATGATATAGAAGCATATAACACACAAAAATTAAATCGCCTAATCAAAAATATTGTTAATAAGTTATTGACCCTGTCGTTTCTTAAAAAATGTGTTTAGATTGGAAGACGTATCAAAGAGCAATACCGAGTAATTATTTTGTATGATAATATGTTTGTATAATAACTTTGCTCGTAAAAAGGGTATTTGATGCGGAGGGGCATTCAGAAAGACACAATATGTACTTGGAAGACCTGCAATTCTCAAAACGCTATGTATGAAACATACTCCAGATGCTTCGACAGTAACTGTGAATAATATTGGGAATACAAATGCCGTTTTTGTTCGCTACTGTTATAGTAAGAAAGTACATATTTCTTAATTACCAAATATAACTGTTAAACTGCACTTACGTTATTCATTTCTCAACAGTATCGTTGTGTCTGCCAATGTTTTCATTTTGTGCCACTTTTTAAGGTTTCACTTTGGATCATTTGAAAGCGCCGGTAACCGCGAGAGGTATGGCCACGCAACGTGCGGGAGTGCCGCTGACTGAATAATGGCGGGTTCGATTCTAGACGGGTGCCGGGAATTTGCTTGATTTTTTAAACATCAATGAATTTGTAAGCCCCCACCGGAAACGAATTCCCAGGGCGACTGCTCTGATCGAAGATTTCCCTGGACACTTTTTACGATGAGCAGTGCTCGCGCTCGATCTTCCCTTCCTGGTCATCTCCCTCGCTCTGGATTGGCACTCCGTCGGGGGAGTACTTCGAGTACCATCCCCGTTACAAACGGCATGTGCTGGCTGAGAAGAGACTAACAACAAAAAGTGTATTGAATACGCCTGTTAGCGCATAAAGCAGGAGCTTTGGACACATTCCTCACACGAACGTCGACATTGCGAAGCGACGCTTCATTATAATGCTTCGGACGGTCTTATTCATATGACGGTAGCCGTTTGATTCCCGCCGGTTGTGATATGGCCCAGAGGCAGCATTGACGTTGTTTCTGCTGTCGCTGAGGTTCTTAAGGACCTGATTGATTAAGATTCGTGTCCTAATGGTGGCAGATATTCGGCACTAGCCTCATAGCTGCATCGAATTCAAACATTGAGGGAATTCTAGTGGCCGGCTGCTCCGATTGGTAGTTTTTCGTGATTCTCCGATGGGACTCGGGCGAATGCAGACGCTGCATATTAAGAAATTGATCACAGACAGCGTGATTATCTTTCCTTCCTTCATCTTTGGCACCTCCTCTCCCCTTACACACACGCGCGCGCGCACTTACATTCACTACTTATACAAACATGTGGAAAGCATACAGCTTGTCCGGGCGGTGCCCCGCTGGAGAAGATACCTGGAAGTGGGAAACCCCCGCACGTTGATGTTTTGCCGCTCCGGATATCTTTTCCCAGAGCGGGAGGAACACCGCCTCCTGCCGGCTACAACATGCACTACACTTTCGGAACCAATGTTCATAGAAGTTAATGCGGACGGAAAGCCTAAATTCTGAGTCCTTCAGCCGAGGGACATAAGGGATGAAATGGGGGCGAGGCGCCGGGACTAAGGGCCCCTTCCCACGTGGAGCGGGTGGCGGCTGCGGCAGCCGGCGCCAAACTCCAGCCACGCGAAGCGAAGGAAGGCATACGCGCCACGGCTAGCAGTACACAGCTTGAACTAGGAGCCTTCCCCTTGCAGCCGCCGGTCGCTGCGTTCTACCTGCTCCGGTCCCTTGGGTCGTCGTCGCCGGAGGGTCGGCGAAACCTACCCGTCCAAACCCCGCCCCCTTCCACGGCGGGCGGCGGTGCGGCCGTGGCTGCGGCGGTGGCCGCGTCGGAAGGGCTCTGCTGCTTGAAGGAAGCGCGGCGCCGTGGCGACGTGGGAAGGCGCCCTAGCAGCAGAGTGCCCTCGCCCATCGCAGCGTGCGGGCGCCGCGCCGAGCAGCGCCGGGTTCGTCTGAAAAACGCGAAGGGAGCCGCCTCGCTGCACCCGCCCGCCGCTTGGCCTCTTTCGGGAGACAGCGCAGCGCGTTGGCGGTCGACCCTTTTTACCTCCGCGCGAGACCTGGACAGCGTTAGCTCTCAGCCAAGGAATATATGGGGCGAATGTTGTCCTGCCGAAATAAAGCGTTGTGATACTTGGGCTATATGGACATTGGTAGACGGCGACTTTGCTGCCGATTCACTTACGTGCTTCGTTTTGAATTCCTAGATCCATAATCTTTCCTCTTCAATCGGGCCAAAATGCTATTCATTTACATTTAATTGGCATATAACTGGAAAATGACCTGACAAGTAATTTTCAGAGGAACGGAGTATTTTTTGTAATTGCAAAGAAATGAATTACATATCTTTCATAAATTCGAGAATTAAAAAAAAAATTGTCTTCGATCTATCTCTTTGAAAAATGGAAATTGAGCATAGTGGAGTTGTATACGATTCCTTAAAGTGCCTTTAAAAAGTTCATTTTGGTCATGGCTCCACGTAATTCATCACCGTCGTTCAACCTGTTTTCGTTGGTTCCGCCTGTTTTCCGTCAATTAACCATGTTCGAATCAATTTTCTGCGGTTTTTTTCGTATTATTACTTACTCCCTGTTGAGTACGAAAGAAGGAGCACTAATTTTGCCGCCGGATATCGTAAAAGAGATTGAGAGATCCATTTTATGACTGAACTAATTTTTGCGAGTAAACAATCTTTCGCCTGTCGATTTGCAGCACCTAGTTTCATTTCTTACTCCACCTCCAGGCGCTGCGCTGCAGTTCCCAGGCACGCGGCGTCGTTCCGCTTCTTTTTTTTCTCGACACTTCCGTTGCATTGTTCGAGCCTCACTGGCGCGCGCAGTGGAACGCAATGCATTGTGTGCATTGCCCTGCAACTCTTATGCAACGCGACAGCCATTAAAGGCTGCTTGCTGAAGCGTCATCTCGGCGGGAATTTGAGTGTGGTTCCTCAGCTCTAGTGCTAGTGAATGCCTTTCGCTGCACCGTGCAGGATGCTAGCCACTGTAAGACGTGAACAAAATTGTGTGACGAAATGGCTTGACTGTGTGAACTGCGCTGTAGTGTTATTTTGGAAGCTACTGTGTGAGCGAAGTTTCGCAAAAGGAAATCGAGAACCAAAGAAGCTGTGTTGCAGAACTCACTATGCTACCTTTTTGTAGGTAGGTAATTACAGAAGTTCCTCTTTCGAGTAAGCCAACAGCGGTATTCCATTTATAACACAGCCCAATAAATTAATTTATACAATTGTACAATTTATACAATTTATACAATTTATACAAAGTCCAATATAGTTGTCCACTCTGATATTTAGCGATTGCGTTACGCTTCAATGCTTCCTCCTCAGCTGCGAACGCTGCATCAGAACGGCCACTCGCGAAGCAGCTGTAATGGAACGGTAATTGGCGCTGCACGCCAGAACCTTGGCAGCGATGATGTCCATTGACCGCGCATCGGCTGCAGCCGTGCGTTCGTCGTGCACCTTATGTTTGAAGCCCGTTCCCTCAACTGCCTCGGCAGATAGAAGTACCCTTGGCCTTACTTAACCTTCAGTTTGTCAAGAGGTTGGAGGTACCTTGCTGTATGGCTTTAGTTCGAAGGAGGGAAGTGAATTGTTTTGTTTTTTTAGCATGAATTTGTGTTGTATGTATAGTTGAATTTCGGAAAATGCACTAATATAGTGGTGACGTAACAGATGTTTAAGAGTAAAGTAGGAGTCTTCAATGGACTAATGTTTGAATATCTGTTTGTACTTAATGGGATGAAACGTTCACCTTGCAATACAAGCTAGTAAAGTTAGGATAGTTGCAATTTGGAACCCTCGCAAATTGCACACATTACAATATTTCGTTGCAATACCATACATTTTCATTAGTATTTTGTTAACGACGTTTTGTGATAATCTCTTCGTCGCAACAGTGCAGTCGCATTTTCTCCCGTAGCAGCGAATTATTTTACCGCACATCCAGCGCGCAAGAGGTTCTTTGCTGCACGGGTTTTTGTTCCAGCGTTGAAAAATTCTCTCATTCGACTTGCGAACCTGGATGGTAACAGTTGAATATGGATAGAGCAGTGCAAAAGGTGTTTTCTTTTTTGCTGGTGAGGTTCCACGAAGAGCTCTCCCTTTCCATTACGATAGATTTTCTTGCGAATCGCCGGCGTTCCGAGAGGCGTCTACTTCGTCTCCCCGCGCTGGTCTCGGGAACGGGAGCGGCCGGGGTGGTTTCCAGGAAGGCCGCGCCCTGCTGGCGTGTGCGCGGGCGTGGAAGCCTCCGCTGATAGCGCGTCGGGCATGTGAGTGGGCGCGCTGTCGCGGACAGCTGACGCCACCGCCGCCCCTTGCGCTGCTTACTGGCGCGTGCCTTCCGCGGGCGCGGCGTGCAAACGGCGAGGGTGCCCCGCCCCCGGACCGCACGCTCGAGACGAAATTCTTTGTTTCGTTTCGGAGCAAGTGCGCGCAATTGAAAAAACAGTAAGGACGAACGTGTCAAAAGTAGCCGACCGCAATCGATGAGAAGAATGCACAGTTTGAATGGGGAACAGGTCGATGACGGATATATCGTGGGAAGTGATCTGTAACGAAGCGATTTAGGGTTGGAGTTCTGCCGTACGACAATGAGTTTATTCAATTGCCGTGAACGAATAGCTTTCTAGATTTATTTAAGGTGCGAAACGTGTTCGCTATTATCGATATCCGACACGTTGCGAACACAGATTTGTGATATATGACTCCCAAGATGTTCCCTTCAAACTTACGGTTGCTGTCATGGTAGGGTATCCAGTATAGCAATTACCTTGTTTTTCACTAAAAACTAATGAACTTAAAACGGTTTTTAAAAAAAAACTATGACTTAGTTTTTGATTGTTGTAAAAATAACGTTATTCCCCTGTAATACATATGCCAATATGCTTCAAGCATTTACTCAATGGTAGCATAGCGTGATTTTGCATATCATTAGGTTGTCCCACTTTTCAACTCATCGGAATCCGGCGAAAAGTTCTGCGTATTCATTTTTTATGTCTTCACATGTAGAAGATAATAATTCCATTCAAACCTGAAAACTAATCATCCACGTGGGGAGACATGACAAAAGTGTTTACGGCATAATGGAAGCTTTAGATTGCGATTTATTGCGTGTTGCTTAGAGTATCTGTATTAAACTAGCACGAATATAATTCGAATATATTATTAGTCTTACTTGAATTAAGTTCACTGATAAATAGAGCTGAATGGGTCCAGATGAGTGACATTTATTGCTTACCTTCCCCCTAAACAGAAATAAATAATCTAAATAACTGTAAAAGAAAGAATATAATAAAAGTGAAAAATATAAACTATTGAAAAATTATCCCGAGACAAACATTTTGTTAAATTTGCAAAATTAATAATTCCTCTAGAATAAAATAAATTATTTAAAAAGAGTGGTTAGAGAAAAAATAAACTTTTCCCAAAAAATTGCATTCCGAATATTCTCCACATCACCCTAAACAGTTGCAATATTTCCGCGTATAAGAAAATGCAGCAACGATGATGCGCATGGATAAGGAAAATCAAGAACAGTCGACGGGCGCACAGCAACGAAAGTACTCACTATGCAGGTGGCGCTTGTAAACGACATGATCAACAATTGTAGGACTTACATTATACATTAAATCGATCTCAAGTTCCTAGAGCTACTGACACGAAAAAAAGCATCAGGCAGACAGATAAACTTCAGGTATGGTGACCGAGGGAAATTACGTCATTCTCGATGTTTCCTAATTACCCACCATGCAGTGGATATTTAATATAAAACAGAGGCTTTGAATCCTGAAACTCCAGCATGTGGTAAAAAGCGCTGTTTAATCCGATCCAAAAGCATTATACATACAAGCAAATAACTATTTAGATCAAATCAAGAAGAAAAAATGACATCATTCAAGAAAACGTAGTAAATGATATTAAACCGGTTTAGGATCTATAATGTTTTCAAAAATAATAATAATAAATAAAAAATTAATAATAAATAATAATAATAATAATAATAATAATAGTTAATAATGTCGGCCCCCGTGGCAGACACAAACCAAGCAGCCGTCCGTCATGTGCCGAGGAGGCTGCAGGTTATTCGACCTGCGGACAGATGTCGTAATGTGTGATTTTCCACTTCACCTATCATCATTCAATCACCTATGATCTCATAAGTCCACACTACAAGGAACGCTAACAAACTTGTTGTAAATCCAAGGATACAGAACTGAAAAAGCTGATCCTGGACAAGAATTACACACACGTTCAATCGTTGTAGCCGTGAGTCAGTAATGCCTATACGCCAAATAATAAATAAATATACATAAAATAATAAAATAATAATATTAATAATAAAGCATTCTGTTAAAATTAGGTTATTTTGGGCCCTGATCATTCTTTCCAGTGTGCCATATTCAATAAACTCTCGACCCGGCAGCAGCGCGGACGCCCTTCTCCCGCGCGCCGCAAAACGAGACGCATCGAAACGCAGCGGCGGCGCTCAGGCGCCCCGACGCGACCCGCCGAACGCCCTCAGTGTATGTGGGCCGAGCCCTCGAGGAAGCCAAGACACGAATGAGTCACCGGGGCGCACCGCCGTGCGGAGGGCAAAAAAAAAAGAAAGAAGGGAGGAGGGGGGAGGAGGGAAAAGAAGTCCGCGAAAACGCAGAGGTGCGCATGGCTGCCAGAGAGGGCGCAAAGGCGCGAGCAGAAACAACTCGCTTTAGCGTCTTAGTAGGCAGGGAAAAATGAACAAATTTAACTGTTTACCGAAGCCCTGCCGCGCGCGGCCTGAAAATTGGTTTACTCCAGACTGAGAAGACGAAGCGGTGTCGCGGGAGTGGCTGTTTTCCGGGATAAGCGCTTTGGATTGCGGGTAAATAAGTGGAAGAAAGTTATTCGTCGGGTGCTTCTTTCGATTTTTAGTCAACTATGGCATCGCGTGTAATAATTTCGTGTTTTTCTTTCCTTTTTTAAATTTTGTTTGCCTTTGGATATTCTTACATTCTGTGAGTGTTTATTTCGCCTTCTGTTGAGTCTACTTGTGTGAATCTCTTCTCTTTTTCTGGGAACTCCTGAATTCCGCAGCCATTCTTGGAAAATGGCGTTAACATTCCTCTCCTATACGTTTCATTTCGACGAAATCTGTTTTTATTTTAGTGAAGCATTCTTTCATTCATTAATGAGTTATTTATTATAAATCAATGACAAGTACACTTGTTTACAATTCCAATTTTGCTTATGTGACTGTGATTTCATACCGTTTTCTCGTATGTTCTGATGGGTGAATTCGACAGAAGTTATTTTGAACTCCGAAATAAAACAGGCCTTTAGTTTATGTTTTGAACATGATGTTAGATTTTAACACAGTATCGAACACAATATGGAACACCTATCGTATTTTTCTTTGAATATACAGTGGAATGTAGAAGAATCTTTAGCCATGCCTTAGCTTTCTGTTGACTGGCATTACCTCTGTGGAAATTTTTCTTTCGTTGGGGAGAACATATTTCGTACTTTTCATTCTTCTGTATAAATATTTGGGTTTGTATTAACGTTTACTCAGCAAAAGACTTTTAAAAAAATGATACCAAAAACGCAAGAATAATTATACAATCCTCAAACTGACAGCATCAAAATACACATTTCATTCGACTTTTTATCACCGTCCTTTACGTTGAAAGGGCTTTTGCGAAAAAAAAAAATATATATTTCCATAATTTCTGGAGAACGTGACAGGCGTGTTTTGTCTGAGGATATATCGAAACGGCTTGTCGGGAGCGACAGGCGCACATTGCCAGAGCATCCGCGTTGCAGTGGGTCGCCACTGTTACGTAAATCCTAGGGGAGGGCGAGAAGCGAGGGGAGGAGGGCTCGGCGCGGTGGGGCAGGCCATGGCAGCGGGGCGGGGGCGGGGCCAGGAAAGGGATAGAGAGGCTCCAGGAAACGATCGGTTAGCCGCTCCCCTACGCGATATGTTCTCCCGCCCCGCAACGCGCGCAGTTATCCTCTGGCCGCTGGGGGGGGGGGGCAGCCACGAACTGCTCATCCTAGAGGTTTGCGGCCGTTCGGACGCGTGAAATTCCTTTAGTCATGTGACGAATTATTTTGACTCGTTCCTGCCAAAATCAAATTGAGAGGTGGGGTGGGGGTGTAAGTAACAAGTTGAGATGATGCGCTTTCCTTCCTCCTTGACAAACTTGTGGTGGTAGGAATTGTGGTACAGCCTATTATTGTTGCTGTACTTAGATTTATTTAGATTTAGATTTATTTAGTTAATCAAACAGTAAAAACTGTATGTGACATATGGGGAGAATATTAACTTCGCACGTTTTCTTGAGTTCCAGAATCACTTTTCATTGTGCTGTGCATTACTGTATATTACTTCTCATTGTGGTAATGCTGAATATTCGCACGAAAACAATGTATTTTGCTACTTTTAGGAAAATTGTCTTCTTTCTTAAACGTAATCGGAACAAACTAAATAACTCATTACAATACTGATCCCTAACTCCACACACCGAACTGAAACATGGACAAATTATCAGGTAGAGCTGTATCTCACCTGGCTGGCGGATGAATGCAGTTCGCGGAGTGTTGCAGTTTTCGGCGATGCTCAATTGCTTTAGGATTGTCCGAACATTGGTCGCGCGCTGGCCTAAAACGATTTCGCCAGCATGCATAAAGTTTTGGTTGTCGACTGGTGGACTGTGTACAATATTTTAGAGTAAAATACGAACTTAAACCCGCTCACTCATATCCAAAATGTAACACTTTTTGCCTCTTCCTCCAGTTCACATTCCTCGCTTGATGCTCATGATCTGCAGCATCCGCCAAGATGAAGACGTTCTGAATGTTCCATCTGTAATGTGATGCATATGATAGTGAATTCAAAGCACTCCGATATTCTCCGAATGGACGGCAAATGCCTCTGTACGCGAAACACTTAAGAAAACTACCTGCTCCGAAGAACTTCGGCACCGGACCCTGCGCCATTCCCTTTGATCGCCCTTGCCGTCCCTTCTCCCCTTCTTTTCGTCATCAGCGAAGCGTTAATTAGAGCGTTCCTGTGGTGGAAAACTGCGAATAGCGCTCCGATATTGTTTAATTAAAACTTTGGGCCGAATTAGCCGGTGTCAGGTTCTATCACGAGTCCACAACTAGTTAGCGTTCTCTCCCATTTATTAATATTTAGACGCTGTCGGCACTGCCGCTCATTAACGACCTCCGTATTTGCTCGTTTACGCTCGTAAGGAGCTCCCTGGAGTATCGAGTTACTCTGAGGAAGAGTTTTATGGAAAGGGTTATTGCGTGCAAAATGCATTTTATTCGCTGGTTTGGTTTTTTATTTAGGGTGTCTATGCTCGTGTTCAGATTGACGCTAATTAAATGTAAAAAAAGCTGGTTGCGAATTGATATTTGAATTTTACAAAGTTAATAATCTTAGCCTAAGTAGTATTCTTTTATTAATCGCTGCGTACGGAAAAATAGTTGTTTCCATCCTCAGTGCCCCATCCCCCTTGTTTTACAAAAACAGTCGCATTATTTTTTATGAAAGAATATATCATTAATGACTTTTCATCGTACATATGAACAATTCATTATTTTTATTTTCGAAATAATTACCCATCTTTCTCGAGACACTTAAAAAAAAATAAAAGGAATTTTCAGAACATTTTAATTGATAGGCGGTATCTTTTTTATCACCAAGAATCGTATATAAAGGCATTTCATATTTGATTCGTATGCATACTTCGTGTAATATCATGCTGATGCAATCATTTTAGGTTCCGACTTGTAACGAGAAAAATCCCCTAAATTTCTGTGTCATTATCCGCTTACGTGGGAGATTGCAGATCTGCTACATTCTCGCGACCGCCATAAATTCGGTATACAATTTTCGCCGATTCTGCACAGTCATCGTATTCAGAAAATAATTAGAAAAAGAGATCATGGTGGAGTTGTCCCTTTGTTTAATTACGAAGAAGCAATATAACCGATAAAATGTCTTTGCACATGCAATAACAATCAATTTATGAATAATAGCGGAGATTAAAATAGGTATATTATAGCCTCTGTCTAAGCTTAAAATGAATAAAAAGGAATCTTGTTAATTTCTAGTAATTTCGATGGTAGCAAAAAAAACAAACACTTATTTATCCCTTAACTACGTCTAGAGGCAAATTGGTACCTAGTTATTATTACATAAAGTTTCCTGATTTGGAATAAGATCACCTTCCTGTTTGTAATTCTTTCTCTAAGGTTTGACTCTACCGGCACAGCGAATAGCTGTTCATTCCATGCCACATATTTGGTTCGTAGAAGTGATAAATAGCGTGTATTACTCAATATGTTTATTCGATTCGTGAAACCAGCTTTGTTTTGTGAGTCTGCATGTCCATCCAATAGCATGATTTGAACAGATAATCCGTCTAATAACCGGATTATTTTATTTAATTGACAATGTTGTGGCTAATTTATTTATCTACGTCAAAACAGTAGCATTTGTATGTGACGTTTGGAGATGGACATATTAGCTACATTGACTGACTCGGAGGAAAAACTAGGCACCTCGTAAACATTGATTCTGTTGATTGTCGGACAAATTAATAAAGAACATCAAAAATGTAAACTAACGTAAGTGGTGACTACTGGCCTCAGAAATTGGGAACTGTGAATATTATTCACGCAATTTCTTGGCAGATATTCGGAATGGGTGAATTTAAGTACATTTTGAAATCAGTTTTTGTGGTTAAGTTATGTCTGGAATTGCCATTACTATTCTCTCATAGCAGTTTTGGTTTTCAGTTATTTAGACAAGAATCCGAGAGTGAAACAAATTACGGTAATTTCTGTAGTAATGTTGCCTTCGCCATTGCACTTCGTTTCATTACTTTGGTCGTTCAATATTGATAGATTTTAAACTAGCTGTATTAATGTCATTCTGGTATGTTCTTACGCCTGTCCATGCAGGTACTGCTTTCGACATTGTTTTCAGATTGTTGTTTCGAAAATCGAGTTCCAGTCATTGGATTCGGAGGAAGGGGCTACAGTTTTGTCACGGTTCAATGTTAAGCATTAGGTATGCAATGCTTTACATTGTGCAAGTGTTATGCATAGCGTCCTTACAAGGGCGGTAGAGTGCTAACGGATTAAGCAGCAATTTGTCTATTGGTTGTCCTAACTGTGTTTTCGTTAACCTGAGATATTTGGAAATGCTAGTGGACCTAAGCATCACGAGTTTGCTTTGCGCAATTACTAATTCTGATTTTGGTATAATTTTGCTACTCTATTGTTTTGTTTTGTTCTCAGCAAAACCAGAGGGAGATCATGGGCACCCTGTTTCCGCCACGGGGTTTCTAACAGTTTCCGCTTGTGTTGCAGAACAACTTCGGGCGCCCGGACGAGGTGGTGGCGGCGGAGACGCTGGCCAACCACGTGCGCTGCAACAACAGCTTCGTGCACGCCGTGTTCCAAGCGCAGTTCCGGTCGTCGCTGACGTGCCCGCGCTGTCAGCGGCAGAGCAACACCTTCGACCCGTTTCTGTGCATGTCGGTGCCCGTGCCGCAGAACCAGCGCCGGCCCGTCTACGTCACCGTACTCTACACCTCGCAGCAGCCGCGACAGGTGCGTGCAAGGAGTTCGCCGTTCTCGACCGCGGGCTCCGCGAAATTACTCGCTGGTCCTCCCGCCCGCGTTAACCGCTTTGCGATGGTGCTAATGGTAGCGCGGTGTGTTTGACTTAATTTGCATTGTGATGTTAAGAACTAGACAATTACCGCTTGTTCTACCATTCTTTCGAACTATCTGACTGTATTAATGCATTACATAAGTAAAGCTTTTTGTATCTACGAATAGTTTTAAATCGTTAATATTCATTATAAAAAGTTACGCTTTATAAGTATTTCTACCAAGCAACTGGTAAGGTAATTACGAATGTCACCTGTTGTTGAGAGTTGAGTACTAGGTAGCAACATTATTGCTGTCGGAGCGCCTTGTGCTTTAGCGGGCTTGACTCTCTACGCGAAAGGTGTAAGTAAAGAATTCAAGAGGGAGCCTGCCTTTACGACAGAAATAGTAGCGGTTGCATTACTTCATCGGTAGGCAGATGACATTTTTATAGGCGTATCCCATTAATTTTTATTAACAAAAGTTACGTGTATTTAATGTAACACTTTTTCCGTATTTAATTATAATGGTAATGAATCCGATGAATGAAATGTACTACATTCTTAGCACTTGAAGTGAAAAGAGAAAACAGGGTACTGGGCTAATCTACAACCTAATTTTAAATGTTCTTGGTAACTCAGATTTTTTAGGAGGATCATATACAGAGATGTACTACAAGCGTTTCTGGCCCATAAAATGTGTGTGTGTATGTGTCTGTGAGTATTTTAAAGCCGACGGGTTTGTATTCAATTATTGAAAACAAAGTACACGCGGTAGGTTAAAAGAGATAAAAAGTAATGTCGAAGCTATTCATTATTTCAATAATATACTCTTACAATCAACTTACAAAAACGACGTATGTTTCTTAGCTGATCGCAGTGGGGGTTAGAACAGTTAGTCCTTGGAAGTAATGTACTTATGCTGCTCCTCTTCATTAAATCGAAAATGCGGGTTCGCAGCCGGGGTAGCCCTATATCTATCCCTCAGATCGGGAGCATCTCCATATAATATTCCTTGTCCACGCGTGTTTTTTTTAATATTTTTTTTAATATTTTTTTTAAATGAATCTCTGCATGACCTTTTTGTTTACACCTTTATATCATGACACAATGTTGAATGTTTATAATTTATTATCCTGAAAGTTAATATAAACAATATAAATTAGCATGAGACTACTGGATGTGCCTAAAAATTTTGAGTGGGTCGTGTGTCTTCTGTTGTCGTCCCCGCGAAAGTTGCTCATTCGGGAGATTGTGAGAAATTTTTCTGTGAACAATGAAAACGGCACTTTCTTCTGACTTTCCATATTTAGGCTTGTTCATGGTCTGTGTTTTGAAAGTAATCTGAGAAAGTGGTTTCGACAAATGCTTCGTTTAAAAACGAAGGTATAAAAGAACTCTTAAATATGGCGCAGTTCTTATTTTCGTTGAACTCTCTGGATGTTCGAAAATGTAAAAGTTCGAAATAACGCGAGAAAGTATGAACGGTTGTACCACCACAAGTTTTCATTTGGAGTGATAAACGGTAATGCTGTCCTCTTACACAGCTTAGCACGGGGGTGCTACCTGGTGTGGATTTTGGTACACTGCCGGAACTGAAGATCATTCGCCGCGAGAGAGAGATGATAATAATAATAATAATAATAATAATAATAATAATAATAATAATAATAATAATAATAATAATAATAATAATTAAAAAAGGCATTAAGCCTTATGTAAACGTTTGGACAGAATCTCCGACCTCTCTTTACTGTTAGTAACATTGTTCACATTTGCAGTTATTTAGTAAGTAATGAGGGGAACAATAGTGCAAAAATGCTAAACATGTTCAAAAATGCATGTGCGTTATAATCCTTGTCCGTATTACACTATCTACAGTTCTTTCATTTTGCTGTAGAATCAGTATTATCCACGCACGTTTTCTTGAGCCCTCATTTCGTTAGATGTAAGGGGAATGGGGGGTTCATTATTTTATTGACAGGACTATTATATGAAATCTGTAGCTCGTTTTTCGATGCCAACTATTTTTCTATTAGGCAGGAGCAAATCTTCTGGTTATTTTAGGTTATTCTGGTTATTAGAGTTTGTCAACAAAACTTGTTGCTATCATTTATTCTGAAAGCAACTAATATTAGTAAAGGAGTGGGGGTAGGTATGCTAAGGCTCAAGAAAACGTGCGTGTATAATACTACTGGTCGCTCAGTACTCGAAATTCGACTGTAATTTATTAAAATTTTATCGTTATTTAGATTCTTTGGTCAAATAGTATACTTTTATAATTATTGCGTTTTTTTATTATTGCGTCATCCTGTTGACCGTGTACAAATACGTTATTAACGTGTGCTGTTTGCCTTAATTTCCTGCAATACCTATGAAAGTTGATATCCTATGAAAACACTGGACTTGTCGTCCCTGCCACAGGGCTGAGGAAACTGGTGTCGTGACCGCCAGCAGAGCTAAGTCCCCCGGAAGTCAAATATACTGTCTCCAGTGCTCTTCGTTTATGAGTAATTCTTATATCATAACACTATGAACTTTTTGAGAATCGTTCACGTACACAATGCAAATATAAAGTGGATTGTTTTGTTTGTTTGTTTGTTTGTGTGTTTTGGTGTGTGTGGTGAGTGTTGTGTGTGTGTGTTTTCCTTTCTTTCTTATACCCTAAGCTTGGAATAAAACATTTAAAAAAGTCTGATTTTGTACATTATGCCATAGAAAGCAAATCTCCGTGTTCGCTAGGGGACAGGAAAATCAGCTAGGTTTTAATGATCTAAAACACATCGTTTCCAAATTACGTACATCAGAAGGGCGTTAGTGTATTACGGGTTGCGTTGGAACGTTATGTAATTTAATTTAGTATACATTTGTATTACACACAAACTTTAGCTTTCTCACTCATTCTCCTTAAAAAACGTTACCTATGCCAAGTATCACTCTCCTCCGTGCGCAATATATCGTTAAAGGGGGCACTAAGTTTTCTCTTCGCGTATTAATATGTACCGTCGATATTTAAGGTATTACGTCCAAAATTTCGGAGAAGAGACTGTACTCGTAACTAGGTACTCGTGACTCGTGTTTCCACACCACACATTTTCAGTGTGTCCAAAATTGTTTGTTTTGAGTAGAATGCTAACAATAAATATGTATTATTTACAGCATCGTCCCCATTGCAGTATACTGAAGTGTTCTTGCAATTTAACTATTGCTCTAGTTTTTGAACAAATTAAATATAAATGGTGTCATAACTTAAAGTACCATATTATTTTATCCCAGCCTCAGTTTAAAAATGTGACTTATCTAAATAATCACAAAAACACCTTTTTCTTGTGAGAATTTGGGACTTTTCCTGCGTGAGTGCTCTATTAGAATACCTCCTCTTACAGAATCAAATGTGTTTTCAGTGGACGTGGCAGATGTTCTGAATATAGGGTGGAACTGTTATGCTCAAGAATATTCCTCAGATACAATATTCTTAGATATTTACATTATAAGTCTTTTGGGCATTGCCTTTAGAAAGTAGTGTTTTATTTTATTTTATCCATATGTTCTTTTAGTTGTCTGTAGGTATTTCAACTTTTATTTCAATATTCTTTCATTGTTGTAGGTGAAATTAGGCCTGTCCTTGCCTATTCACGCTGATGTTCGAGAATTGAGGGAGCAGTTGGCATCTGACACAGGAATCAGTGAGCCTCACATGCTTCTCACAGAAGTAGATGATCTGGGCTTCCATCGGACATTTTCAGGTAACTACGAGCATTTAATTTTCAGAATTTATGTTAAAACTTCGGACTAGTGTCAATTAGAAACTGGTGAGGATGTTGTCAAAGTAATAGTAGTCTCGCCAAAATTGCGAATGGATGTCCAATTCTGGTTATTTTCTCATTAGCCAATTAATTCCCGCAATATTCAAAATGTTTGGATAAAGTTCGAAATAGAAACAGTATCGAAGCATACTGAGGACTTCAACTGGGTGAAGTTCACAATAACCAGCACGAAATGGCTAGGGTATATGAAGTACGTTCCACTGATGAGGAATAACAGGTAATAAGTGATAAACAGGGATCAAACTGCTGGTGGGAGGTTTCTAAGATGAGTGAGAGACAAGCTCTGTTGTTAATTGTTCCACTGTCGTAAATTTCTAATGATACCTCCCAGCCTGACTTCGCTATACTACATCTCAGTTCATTCTACTACGTATTTCCTAGTTGCCGAGACTCCGGTCTTCAGAATTTAATATTGAGTATGTAGAAAGGATAATTTCCAATGCATTTTTATGTCAAAATGCCTAACTCACAAGGTCTCACACACGTGAACAATCACTTTACTTTAGCCAGCTCCCAGTAGCCAATGCCAACATTCACCTTTTTTCGAATTGTAACTTGGTATAAATATGGTCCGAATGAATCATTTCGCGAAGAAAAAAAAACACACCTGTGTGTTCCGCATTATATTAGCAATAAATATTTCTGTACCATTTTGACCTCGGAAGGATAAATTACCGTAGAAAGTGGTATACGTAAGTGCATACGCGGTGGAAGATAAAATGATTTAATACAGCGAAAAGTCGATGTATATTTTAACGAGAATACACGTTTAGGGATTCTCTGATTCCGGAAAGTTTTAGTTTTTTTTTTTCCTCCCTCCAAAATGTCCGTCTGTCTTCCGTCCTTCATTCTTTTCGTCCGCTCTTCCTTCTGACATCCGTCCGTCTACGTGTTTCGGTTCCCTGCGAAGTCCGCGATCGTCAGTCCACCTGCAGCTGGAGACGGTGTCTCTCCTTGACTTGGTCATTGACGCTCACAAGCGTCAATACCCAGTTCATAAGGTTTCTAAATATATCGCAGTCACTGGCCAACATAATCTTCAGGGTGCCTCCTCTGGCAATGAAGATCAGATCGACGTCCTGTGGCCAAAAGCTTCCTTTACCTTTGGTAGAGCTCAAATTGCACTGCTCTTTCACTTCATTACACAATAGCTTGGTGGTCACTATGTGTATAATGTCGCACGTAACCTCGCATGACTCAATACGTCTAGCAATGCTTTTACAGACACAAGTTTTAGGTCAACGACCGAGCTGCGACCATTCATACAAAGGTTACGGACGGCCCCGTTTTGTGCAGAGGCAGACATCCAAACTGTCAAGGCTCTCCAGGAGAGCCACCCCGCGTCATCGTTACTCTGCTGCCCCATCCGTGCCCATTGCATTGAATGTCCCGCCATACAAGAGGCCTTCGTTCTCTCGCGTCATCTATTAGCCGATCGAGTTAACTCGAACTCCTCAACGATGCACTGGGTGCAGCATAGACCTATAGAGTTATACACCGAACCTTGTGTGTGTGTGTGGGTCTGTGCGGTGCGTGCGTGCGTCGTGTGATTGTGTGTGTGGTGTGTTCTGTAATGCGCGGCGGTAGTATTCAATATGAATACAAAGACACCTGGCGTAGTTAAAAGAGATAAAAAGTAATGATAAGAGATAACAAGTAAGTAAAAGTATCATATTTCAATACTATACTCTTCATCAACTTACAAAAACGACGTAGTTTCTGTAGCTGTGCAGTGGTGTAGACAGGTTAGTCTGGAAAGTAATGTACTTATGCTGCTCTCTTCATAAATCGAAAATGGGGTTCGCGCCGGGTAACCTGTATCTATCCCTCAGATGAGTGCATTCCATATATTATCTCTTGTCTGCGTGTTTCTTTTTTAATGATGACCTTTTTGTTTACACCTTTATACGTGACATATCTGAATGTTTATAATTTTTATTCTAAAGTTACTACCAACATATACATATAGCATGGCATCACTAGATGGCCTAAAATTTTGAGTCGTGTGTCTTCTTGTTGTCGCCCCGCAAACTTTGCTCATCGGAGATGTGAAAATTTTTCTGTGAACAATGAAACGGCGACTTTTTCCGACTTTCCATTTTAGGCTTGTTCCATGGTCTGTGTTTTGAAGTAATCTGGAAAGTGGTTTCCGACAAATGCTTCGTTTAAAACGAAGGTAATAAAGCACTCTTTAAATTGGGCCCGCCAAAAGTCTTGCCTAATTTTCCGGTTGAATCTTCTGGGATGTTCGAAAGTAAAAGTTTTCGAATAACGCGAGAGATGATCGGTGTACACCACAAGTTTTCTATTGGGTGATAACAGGTAATAGCTGTCCTCTTGCACACAGCTTCAGCACTGGGGTGCTACTCGGTGGGATTTTAGGTAACACTCCGGACCTGAAAGATCTACGCCGGAGAGAAGATGAGTAATAATACTTAATAATATATATATTATAATATAATATATAATTAATAAATAATAATAAATAATAATAATAATAAGTATAAAAACGCATAAGCCCTTTATGATACGTTGGACGAATCTGCCGACCTCTCTTACGTTTAGTAACATTGTTCCTTTGCAGCTTTAGTATAATGAGGGAACACAATAGTGCAAAATGCTACATGTTCAGAAATGCAATGTGGCGTTATAGCCTTGTCCGGATACACTATCTACAGTTCTTTCATTTTGCTGAATCGTATTATCCACGCACGTTTCTGCGCCCTCCATTTCGTTAGATGTAGGGGAATGGGGGGTTCATTTTTATTGACAGGACCATTTATGAATCGTAGCTCCGTTTTCGATGCAAACTATTTTTCATTAGGGCAGGAGCAAATCCTTCTTGGTTATTGTAGTTATTTCGGTATTAAGAGTTGTCAACTAAACTTGTGCATCTATGTTATTGAAAGCACTATATTGATAAGGAGTGGGGAGTTATGCTAAGCGCTCAAGAAACGTGCGTGTATACTCATGGTCGTCAGTACTCGAATTCGACTGTAATTATTAAATTTTATCGTTATTTAGATCTTGGTCAAATAGTATACTTAATTATTATGCGTTTTTTCTTATTAGGTCTCCGTGTGACGGTCAATACGTATTACAGTGTGCTGTTTGCCTTATTGCCTGCAAATACTATGAAGTTGATACCCTATGAAACACGACTGTCGTCTGCATAAAGCGGGGGCGAGGAACGGTGTCGTACCGCGCGACCGCTAGTCCCGGAGTCAAATATCTGTCTCCATGCTCTTCGTTATGAGTAATTCTTATAATCATAACACATGAATTGCAGAAATCGTTCACGTCACAATGAAATAGTAAAGTGGATGTTTGTTTGTTTGTTTTTGTTGTGTGTGTGTGTTGTGTGTGTGTGGTGTTGTGTTGTGTGTGTGTGTTTTCCTTCCTTCCTTTCTTTCTTTTATACCCTAAGGTTGGAATAACACTTTAAAAGAGTCTGATTTTGTACCTATTATGCCATAGAAGCAAATCTCCGTGTCGCTAGTGCGAGGAAATCACTAGTCTTTCTGTACTAAAACTACATGTTTTTCCAAGTACGTACATCAAAAGGTGTTGTGCTACGGGTGCTTGGCGTTATGTAATTTAATTAGTATCCATTTGTATACACAACAAATGTATAGCCTTTCTCACTATTCTTCCTTAAAAACGTTACTATCCAGTACACTTCCTGCGTGCGCAATATTCGTGTAAGGAGGGGCCTCAAGTTTTCTCTTCGCGTATATAATATGTACCGTCGATATTTTAATGGTATCGCCCAATAATTACGGAGAGACTGTACCTACTATATCGTGACCGTGTTTCCACACCACCATTTTCAGTGTGTCCAAAAATTGTTTGTTTGAGTAAGAATGACTAACAATATATTGTATTTTTACAGCATCGTTCCCATTGCAGTTACTGAAGTGTTCTGCAATTTACATGCTTAGTTTTTAACAATTAAATTAAATGGTTCATTAACTTAAAGTACTATATTATTTGATCCCGCTCAGTTTAAAAAGTGACTTATCTAAATAATCACAAAACACCTTTTTTCTTGTGAGATTTGGACTTTTCCTCGCGTGATCTCTTTAGAACACTCTCCTCTAGAAAAAATGTTTTCAAGTGGACGTGTGGCAGATGTCTGATAGTAGGGTGGAACTGTTATGCTCAAGAATATCCTCAGATACAATATTCTATGTATACATTAAAGTCTTTTGGCTTGCCTTAGAAAGTAGTGTTTTATTATTTTATCATCATGTTCTTTAGTTGTCTGTAGGTATTTCAACTTTTATTCCAATATCTTTCATGTGTAGGTGAAATTAAGGCCTCTTGCTATCCGCGATTTGAGAATTGAGGAGCAGTGATCTGACCACGGGAACAGAGCCTCACATTGCTTCTCACGAAGTAGATGATCGGGTTCCATCGGACATTTCAGGTAACTACGAGCATTATTTCAGAATTTTGTAAAACTCGGATTAAGTGTTCATTAGAAACTGGTTGGGATGTGTTAAAGTAAAGATAGTCTGCAAAATTGCGAATGGAGTCAATTTCTGGTTAGTTTCTCATGCAATGTTCCCGCCAATATTCAAAATGTTGATAAAGTTCGAATAGACAGTATCGAAGCAACGGACTTCCACTGGGTGAAGTTCACTAACCAGCAGAAAGGCTAGGGTATATGAACAGCTCGTTCACGATGAGGAATAAAGTAATAAATAAACAGGATAAACTGCTGGTGGGAGTTGCTAGATGATGTGAGACAAGCTCTTTGTTATTGTCCACTTCTAATTCTAGATGATACCTCCAGCCTGATTCGCTGTACTCATCGAGTCATTCACACGTATTTCCTATTTGCGAGACTCCGTCTCAGAATATTAATTGGTATGTAAATGGAATATTGCAAGCTATTTGATGTCAAATGCTAACTACAAGGTCTTCACACACGCTGAAACAATCACTTACTTTAGCCATCCGTAGCCAATGCACATCACCTTTTTTCGATATTGTACCTTGGTATAACTATGGTCAGAGCATACATTTCGGCGAAGAAAACAACAAACACCTTGTGTTCGCTTATTAGCAATAAATAATCATCTTTCCACTTGACCTCGGAGGATAATTCCCGTGAAAGTGTTATACGTAAGTGGTATCAGTTTTGTTTTTTTTCGCCTCTCAAAATGTCCCGTCTGTCCGTCTTCATCTTCTCGTCGTCTTCCTCTTCTGACATCAGCCGTTCTTTGAACAGCATTAGAAACCTCTAGGATTGTTTTTTTCGAATTCGCGATTTTGAAATATTCTTACGTTGAGATATGTCCTTGCAGCTATTGAACATTTCTCAACGGTTTCTCAAAAATTGCTCAAATTTGTC